TTAAATAAAACTGTTCAAGTGGATAGTTGCTGTGGCAACTGTGTGACACTCTACGGTAGGGAATCGAATTCAACAAATCATTTACACGTGCTTTCATTGCTGCCAGTCTTTACAAGTAATGCTCTAGTTACAAGGCTTGCAGTGATTATTATTTTTATGCCTTTGCATCTGTGCAACCGTGGGATTAATTCCCTGAACTGAGATTTGCCAAGTTAGGATTTATGTGTAATTGTAATTTTGTAGAAATGGGTAACCCTTCCATTTCTAAATTGATAATCTAACCCCAGTCCCTCCCAAGACAAACAGTGTAAGGAAATGAAATAACCCAAAATAGATGGATGAATAAAGAAACTGTAGTATAAACTGGAATGTTATTTGACCTTAATGGACAGAAAATTTAATAAACACTACATACAACATGAAAGAACCTAGAAGATGATCTGTTCTGTGGCACAAGACTGTTAAAAGGTGAAAATGTAGCTGGCAGCATAATGCCAGCCTGTGACCTCAGCCCTTGGGAGATGGACTCAGTAGAATCAGACGTTCAAAGTCAGCTTGACTACATAGGGTATAGGCTAGTGTAGGCTACATGGGACTACCTTAAACGGATCCCTACACACAACACACACACACACACATACACACCCCGCACACACAACCGTGCACTTGATGGAATTTGATGACTTCAGGAAAAATACTAGAATTAACAAAGGCAGTAGAATGGCGTGTTCAGGCGTCCAGTAAAGATGGTTGTAGGGTTAGTGTTTGATAAACAGTTTTGTCGGGACAGATGAAAAGAGGTCAATGGGCCGGGCATTGTGGTGCACGCCGGCAGGCGGGTCTCTGAGTTCGTAAGCCAGCCTGGTCTACAGAGAGAGTTCCAGGACACCCAGGGCTACACAGAGAAACTCTATCTAGAAATAACCAAAAGAGAGGAGGGGATGGGGAAAGAGGAGGAAGAGGAGGGAGAGGAGGAGAAGGAGGAGGAGACTCCGCTCGCCTAGAAATGAATGATAGTGAAAGCAGTACAGTGAATGTACTTAATTCTACAGAACTGTACAGTTAACATGCTTAAAATAGGGGTTGGAGATGTAACTTAGTGGTAGAGTTCTTGCATACCGCAAGGCCCAGGGTTTGATTTTTAAAAAGAAAATATTAAGATGCTAGATACCAAATATATCTTTCCACAATAAAACTGCTACCCCTAGAAGAAGCACTTCAACTCAGAAAGCTACCATCCTTACTTTTAAGTTCAGAGAAGGTCATTTATTTGTACTTTGTAGAGATCCTCTTGGAAGGTATGATTTGGAATACACACTGCTGTGCCGTTTTTGTCGCGGTTTAAAAATATCTCCACGCGCCCAACGTGGGGCTCGAACCCACGACCCTGAGATTAAGAGTCTCATGCTCTACCGACTGAGCTAGCCGGGCGCTATGCAAAAAATGGCTTTATTTTTCCATCACTGTTTGAAAAGACGTCAGTCTTAAATTTGGGGTTGAAACTAGAATTTGATAGAACTACAAACACTCAGAAATGTAAAATTCAGCCATCGACGCCTGATCATTCCCCTTACTTTCTTCCATTTGCTGTTTACTTTTTTCTACCAACAAAAGGGATTGCGTTAGTAAGATTTTGTATGTGTTTTTCCACCGCGAAGTTCACAGAGCTGAGAAGGAAATACATACGCCTTAAGATCTCACTGGATTGATTGCTTCCCCGCAAATTTGGTCGCGAGTAGTCCCGAGCTGGGAGAAGCGAAGCTCTTTCTTTCTAATAAACCGCGGCGGCTCAACCCTTTTTGGAGCAGGGGCGTTCTGCAACTGTTGGCTGCACGCTGTTTGTAAATTTAGGACAAAACCGGAAACTAATAAGCAACAAAGCCAAAACGAAAAAGTATACCCAAAAGCGAAAAACACCTGGAGATGCCGGGGATCGAACCCGGGGCCTCATACATGCAAAGCATGCGCTCTACCACTGAGCTACATCCCCACTCGCCCTTTTCGCTTTCTCAGAACTACTCTAGTGATTGCGTAATGCACAGCTCCTATCCACAGATTGTGTCTGGTTTTTTTGGAAATCACAACCAGTCATTGACTGTCCCGAAGTGTACCTCCGATCCTCACTAAGGAAGTCGGTCATCCGCTAGGGATACCGGAGGGCAGACAGATGTCGGAAGAGGATGGAAAAATTGAGAGAAACTCATCAGGCACTTATGACAAAATAGAACCTTGACCCCCCAAAAAAAGATAGGTTTTGGTTTTTGTTTTAAACCCAAGATAACGTAGTAAAATATAAAATGTTTAAACGAAGTAATGAAGTTAACTGCTCTAAATGGGGAAAGTGCATAGGAAGTGGGTGGGTTTCCCAATGCTCGATTTTGTTGTTGTTGCTGTTGTTAAAGACTTATTCATTTTATGTAATGAGTGTTTTGCCAGCATGTATGTATTCGTACTATGAGTGCCTAAGGAGGTCAGAAGGCACTCCATCCCCTGTAACTCTAGTTACAGTTGTAAACAGGTTCTGAGTACCTGGATCCTTTCTGTACTTACCTACTGAACCATCTCCAGCCCCTGCCAACCCTCTGCCCCCAATCTTAAACTGTAGTAGGATATTCACCATAGAATACCTTACATGGATAGAAGCTAATAGAAAGTCTTTATTAGTCATTTGACTAATACACTGGGTATACACGATCCCAGTGTAGCCCAGAGCCTTTCTCAGGGTGAGCTTTTAAACACAAAAGTCATGTTCTGGGTTGACATAGTTCAGTTAACGAGACCAGTTAGCCAGAAGCAGAACTATAGAAGCAAGGTTAGTACATTTAGAGATTTTTCTCAGAACTATATAGACTTCGATGGATTAGGCCTTTGTTTAGCGTTGGCAGGTGGTTTTATCTACATGCTGAGTGTTACAATCTGAATGGTACTTCCTTCATGGAGTCAGTTGTGCTAAGATCTCAGGGCAAACTAAGTCTGGGGCCCTGTTACAAATCTGTGTGTGATGGTCTGTAGGCTTCATGGATAAAGTAGCATTTGAGAGACCTGGAGGAGGCGGGTATCACACTGTACAGATTTTGGCAAGAAGACAGATCAGCAGGATGAGCCTAGGGACTGGCTTGCTGGATTCCAAGGCTGGTAAAGAGCTATTTGTGTGTCTGGGTGACAATTTCAGGTCAACCATAAACTAATCAAGCTGCTTCAATACGGTGTCCCTGTGAGTCAGTTGCTCTGCTATATACTGAAGAGGTCTTTGCTACATTGGATTGCATATTGTATATGGGTGAGATATTTGAATAGAAAAGGTAATCAAGTTTAAAAAAACTGCAAAGGTATAAGTGAGCTTGAAAGCTATAGCCCATAGGCCCACAGAAATAACCTATTTTCTTTTCTTTTCTTTTTTTTTTTTATGGAAGCTGGGTTTCATACTCAAGCTGACCTTCAAGTGGCCATGGGATGGGGATGGTCACGACAAGGGATGACTTTGAACTTCTGATCTTGTGCCCTTTAATGCTGTAATTACATGTGATTCCAAGTCTGTGCCACCAGGCCCAGCAAATAACATATCACTGAATGTCCTTGATGTCATTACTCTGAGTTCTTGGTGAACCAATAGGGCCTTAGCTCACCACCTGCTGCCCTGTGTCTGAAACTGGTGGCATGCTTTAGTCCAGGAATTCCCTTGTTTCTTCAACTTGACTTAATGTTCCTTATCTTCAAAATAATTGTAGCCGAGTTTGCAGAAAATTAAAAATGTGCCATGGTGGAGGAGGAGAATCAAGCAAGAGCCATTACACAGGAGTCTTTCTGACACATAGGGATATCAAGAAGACTCACACGGTTGCATTGTGGTCAACTCTAAAAGTCACAGGGAATGAGGACAGGGAGCTGTGGGTATAGGAGCTGGGCACAAATCGCAGGCAGAGCCTTGAGTTATTAGAGGACTTCAATTTCTTTCCGGAGAGTTAGCGCCACTGGTGGGGTTTGAGCAGAGGACTCTGATGGATACTATGGAGACATCAGCTCTGAAAGGGTTCTCTAAAATCAAAAAAGAGGAAGCGATTACGGAGTGTGGAGACTGAGGCTCAAGGACTGAGCCAGGGCAGGGAGCCGAGTGGGGAAACTATAGAACCTAAGAAGAAAGCAGGAGGCCATAGACTGAAGAGAAAGGAGATTGTTAGCAGCATCCTGAGTGATGAGAAGATACTGTGAAGAAGGACAGACACACCAGAGAGGTGAGGTCTGCAACTTTGGGTTAGAATTGGGTAAGTGGAAGGTGACATTGACAAGAGAGGTTCTGGGAGAGGCAGAGGAAGAAGCTTGACCCTAGTGGCCTCCAGAAAGAAACCATAGAGAAACTACTCCGTGGAACCCAGTTGTACACCAGCTGGGGGAGAGACAGAGGGGTACGGGGTAGGTGTGGGATGATACTGAATGAAATGAGAAAAATGGCAGTATTACTTGTTCAAAATTAAAGGGAGAAGAACTGTAAGAGATGTAGTTACAAAAGTGGACAAAAGGCCACGCTTGGGGTGAGGAGCTAGAGCCAAATTCCAGACCCTAAGTTTAGCTCAGCACAGTGCCAGAATGAGTCGGTATGCGGGGAACCAGACACCGTGCCCGGGGAGCCAGGCCTTTGCCCCTGTAGTGCAGGGTCAGCCTAGGTCGGCCACTGGGAGTGGAGCCCAACTGGCCTTGTGCGCTCACCTGTCCCCAACAGTTCCCTACTGCTGACTGGGCCATACTGGGCGGCCCAGAGAGGCAGTGGAAGGGGGGTCGACAAAAGGGAGATCGCGGGCTAGGGTGGTGGCTTTGGGAACCCAGAGAAAGGGCACCACCTGCCTCCATTCCCAGCTGGGTGCACCCTCGGCTCACGTCTCAGCTTGCCCGCTGCCGGTCCCGCCCCTCCTCGCCCAGTGGGTATTCGGAGCCCAGCCCAGCTTGGACTGTAGCATCCAGGGACCTCCCCAGAGCTACAGGACTCGGAGGTACCAAGGACACGCATGGCGACTGTGGGGCCGCGGACCGGGCCGAACGCAGGAGCTGAGGCGCTGGCGCTGGCGGCAGAGCTCCAAGGAGAGGCGACGTGCTCCATCTGCCTAGAGTTTTTCCGGGAACCGGTGTCGGTCGAGTGCGGCCACAGCTTCTGCCGCGCCTGCATTACGCGCTGCTGGGAGCGTCCGGGAGCTGGGACCGGCACGGCGACCCGCACCCTGCCCTGCCCACTGCCCTGCCCTCAGTGCCGTGAGCCCGCGCGCCCCAGCCAGCTGCGACCAAATCGACAGCTGGCCGCGGTGGCCTCGCTCCTTCGGCGCTTCAGCCTGCCCCCCACCGTCCCCGGGGAGCGCGGGACCTCAGGGGTGGCTGCCCGGGCGGCGGCTGCGCGGTGTTCGCAACACGGAGAGCAACTTAAGCTCTACTGCCAAGACGACGGCCGCGCCATTTGCGTGGTGTGCGACCGCGCCCGCGAGCACCGTTCGCACGCCGTGCTGCCGCTGGAGGAGGCGGTGCAGGAGGCCAAGGTGGGTGCAGGATGTCCCGGAGCCCTGGCTGTGCTTCAGCCCTCCTAGCTCTCCTAGCGACTGCAGGCGGGGTCCTACAGAAGAGCCCTGGTCTCCTTTTTCTCTTCCTAAACTGTGGTTTCCCCTTATCTCCTCTCGTCCCTCAGAGCTCGATGCCTAGCGGCCCGGGAGACGGTCCCAGGGACTTGAACTTTTGTTTTTTCTTGTCTGTTCCCAATCGCTGTTGTAATTCTGTCCAGGAGAGAGTCTCTGTCACGCCCACACATCCTACTGCGTTCCCAGGGGCGGGGCGGTACACAAAGTACTTGGTTTAAAGAGGAACACAGCGCGGGCGTCCCGAGTTAGGTGGTCTGTCTAAAGAGCTATGAAGCTCTGAACATCTCCCCTTTGTCGGTCCCTCGCTGGGCAGCCGCACAAGAGGCGTGTGCAGCAGCTCCCAGTCTTTGCTGTCCTGTTGTGCTCCAGCCCTCCTACATGAGGGGAGGAGAGCTGAAGATAAAAGTGGGCTGAACAATGTGGGAGTCTTGATTCTCAGCGCAGACCATGTGGTTGATGCCCTTGAGGAACTGAGACTCCCGGGACTTTGGAGTTCCCCTGCATTTGCCCTGCACTGATAGGCTTAGTCTGCAAGCTGTGTTCACCTCACACCCAGAGAATGATATCTATCTGGTCTCCTGCTCCTGAGAGCAGAATCTTGGCTTTCTCCTGGATGATTCTAGGAAGGTACACGAGAGGGTACCAGAATTCTCTGACCACGGTGTCTTCCTTCATACCACAGGAGCTGCTGGATTCCAGGCTGAGGGCCTTGAAGAAAGTACTGGAAGACTATGAAGCGTTCAGGTCAACAGAAGAGAGGGAGAGCAAGGAACTTATAGTGAGTCCAAGTGTGAGCCATAGGGTTGTGGATGCTCAGGGCAGTGTGTGTGTGTGTGTGTGTGTGTGTGTGTGTGTGTGTGTGTGTGTGGTGTTGAAACTGTAGGGTGGATTTCAGAAAGACAATATGGTATACATTATGAAGGTTGACTATATAATTTATAATATAAACTAGAGCTGTTCAAATCATCTTTAGGGTGCACAGTCATTCGTAACAAACCAGTTAGGACTTGTAGCAGCATCTTGTAATTGAATACATTAGTATTTCTTCACAGAAACATGTCATATTAAGTACGAACGTGAATATGATAAGGAACCATACATTAGCCAGAGGTGTGTTCTGCCACAGGGGAGAAAAAAAACAGTGAGGGAGCAGGGGGGAGAAATGTTTCGTTTTCCGAGCTTTAATTTTAGAATTAGAGGTTTTTGGCTGTGGTGGTGCATGCCTTTAATCCCAGTACACTGGAGGTGAGACAAGCAGATCTCTGTGAGTTTGAGGCCAGCCTGGTCTTCTGAGTGAGTTGCAGGACAGCTAAAGCCACACAGAGAAACCCTTTGCACTTAAAGGAGAAAATACTGATGGGGGGGGGGGGGGGGGGGAGCAGAACTGTGCCTGACAGGACTGTGGCTTGGGGACTTGCTTTGCTTACTATGGACAAACAGGAGTCACTGTCATTTTCTACCTCACAAATCCAGTTCTTAGCTCAATGAAGGATGCTGAAAGGGTGAAAGTTACCATCAGGACCATTTAAGGCAAAGTCGTTTGTTTATGAAGCTGGGAGTTAGAGGGAAGGCCTGGAGGACCCTCTTATGCTTTTAAAAAAATTATCTGTTTACCTATCTATTTATTTGTGTTTCTATAATTGGGTGCACGTGCTACTGTCTGTGTGTGTAAAGGTCAGAGGGCAACTTGGTGTCAGTCCCTGTCCTCCACCTTGAGGTGAATTCTAGGGATTAAAACTGGGGTTGCCAGGCTTATGAGCCAAACATCTTTACCTGTTGAGATATCTCACCAGCTCCAAACCCCTATTCTTTAGGTTGGGAAGGGAAGACTATGGAGCTCAGATACACAGGTTCCTCTCTGGGATCTTTGTGGTTGGTTTTTGTTTTTTTGTTTTTTGTTTTTTGTTTTTTTCTTTCTGTTTTGTTTGAGACAAGGTCTCTCTATATAGCCCTGGCTACCCTGGAACTTGTTACATAGACTAGGCTGGCCTCAAACCTACAGAGAGTCACCTGCTACTGCCTCCTTAGTGCTGGATTGAAGATCCGTGCCACCATGCCTGGGCCTCCCCCTACTCTTAATTGCTTTTTTTGTTTGTTTGTTTTTTTGTTTTTTTGTTTTGGTTTTCGAGACAGGGTTTCTCTGTGTAGCCCTGGCTGTCCTGGAACTCACTCTGTAGACCAGGCTAGCCTTGAACTCAGAAATCTGCCTGTCTCTGCCTCCCAAGTGCTGGGATTAAAGGCGTGCACCACCACCGCCCAGCCTTAATTGCTTTTATATCTGCATCCATTGGACATCCCAGACTTTCTGACCTTTCATTTCCCAAAGCAGAGTTCACCCATCCAGACCTTTGTTTCACCTCTGCCAGGGAAAGGAAGAAGTGCATAGCTTTTTGGTTTGCATCTGTGACGAAAAGGATATTCTCTATGGTCTGGGCAACTTTGAAGTCTCTGATCCTCCTCTCAGGACATTGTTTAGCACCTCCCATCTCTGCTCTTTGCTAAACCCTCCCTTAACCTATCCAAACCAGGACCTTCACAGCCAAGCCAGTGTTCTGAGCCACATGCTCCGTATCTTGCTTACCATACAGCAATAGGTGAGCCTACCTCTGTTGCTGTACTGAACAGGGTTTTATAATTGTACATACCATGTGGGCTGGAAGAAGTGGGGTAGGAAGGGAAGAGTACTTTCACCTGAAAAATGCCCTTACCCCAGAGGTCATCCAGTAACATCTAGAAGTTTTTTTATTTGTCAGCACTGTGAGTGCCACTGGCATTTAGTGGCAGGAGTCTTAGATGTTAGATATGTCAGAATGCAGAAGGAAGCCGCCAGAGTCAGGAATTATCTGGCCCCAACTGTCGACAACAGCAAGAATGGGACACGTCTGTTTACAGTTTTCTTGGTCTGTTAGTCACACAATATCATCAATTGTGTGCTTTTTAAAGGAATACAGACCTGGTGGTGGTGGCCTAAGCAGAGGCAAGCAGATCTCTGTGAGTTCGAGGCCAGTCTGGACAGAAAGTCAAAGCTGTACAAAGAAACCAAAAAACAAAAAGAAAGAATAGAGAGATTAACTGGGTATGGTAGCTCGCCGCCGTTTAATTCCAGTGCTTAGGAGACAGAAGCAGAAGGTTATTCATGAGTTCAAGGCCAGCTTGGTCCTCATAGTGAATTCAGGACAGCCAGGACTATACAGACGACAACAACAACAACGTTATTTAGCTTACAATTCTAGAGGCTGGAAAACCTAAAAGGATAAGGCCTGTAGCCGCTCCGCACTTCAGGAAAGCTTTCTTACTGAACCAAAACAAGAAGGAGGGCATCCTGCGGCAAGACAGAAGGAATAAGTTCTTATGGTTTTCACTCCCTTTTCCCCTTCCTCCCACTTTGCCCCCTCCAGTTTTTAAAGGTGGTGTTGTTACATTGTGTCTGTTTTGTGCCAGGGGGGAGGAGAGAGAGTACACGAGTGGGCTGGTGAAACAGCAAAGTCTTTTATCATTCACGCTGCACAAGCCGAGTCACTGCTCTATCAGGGACGCCAGACAAGGCCTTGGCTTTCCTGGCAGCTCAGAGTAAGGGCTACAGCTGAGTTTATAAGCATAAAACCTGCAAGCACCCATGCCAAGTTACAGCTAAAATTCTCACCAATCAGAATTCCGGGATTAGGGACTTTCCCTACGAGTTCCAATCACTGTCAACTGACACAGAATGTAAGCTTTTTAGTCCAACAGATTCATCTGGATTTTGTTTTGTATTAATGTGTGTGTGTGTGTGTGCGTTTGTGTGTGTTTGTGGTTAGGAACAGGCATTATATTTTGAGGAACTATTATTGCAACTATTATTATTGCTTTGCCTGTACCCAACTGAGCCTCATTATGTAGCTCAGGTTGGCCTGGAACTTGCTATGTAGTCCAGGCTGACCCTGTGCTTGCAGAACCTCATTCTCTTGAGTGCTATAATTATAGAGATCCGCCCTCAGGCACAGGCAGAGAGCTGTTTTAAGAAACACTTTTGCTTGGGTTGTTGTTCCCCTGGGAGTCAATGCCATACAGTTAGCAGAAATACAGACTTTAAATTCAGACCACCAGTGCCTTCGAATCTTAGCTTAACCATTACAAGGATGGATTTCCTCACCCTAAAATGGAATAAGAAATGTGCTGATCTTATTGGGTCAGGGTGAGGGAACTGAAGTGTTCCTTGCTGCTGCGGCTACTGCTCAGTGTCTGATTATGGAAAGGGGCAGGTATATTGTGGGAAGCCTTAGGACCCATGATCTGAGCCCAGGGCTCCTGATTTCACTTTTTCTACAATCTCCTCTTCTTCCCATTTTCCTTCCTCTGTAATAGCTGGGAGAGGAGCTTTCATTATTGAGCTTGCCCTATGAAGATAAGGTCCTTACTTGTCGATAGCCACAAGAGTCCTTGTCTACTATATTGGAGTTTTGCTACACTAGTAACTGTGTTTGTATAAACTAAGTAAAGGAGTGCATCTAGACATGAAAGCCCTGAATTTGATAATGCAAAGAACAGAACATTGAGTTTGCACAGCGCATACACTCAGTGCTGAGAGGCTGTGCTGTGCCCCAGCCAACAGGAAGCTTTCTCTCCCTGCACCTCCAGAGTTCTTGCACTGTAAGTCTGCATTTCTGTTGGTAGGCAGGGTGTCTCAGGAGAGGAGATAAGGAGCAAAGGAGAAACGAGTCAGGTGCAGGGGTCAGGGGACTGTCTCAGCTCAGACTGACTGCAGTCAGACTGCTTCTGCAGCTCCTAATAACTAGTAACCAGGTGCCTCTTTATTTATACAGGTTTCACAGAGACAGACTAATGATTATCCACGAAGTACAGATTATGTGTTTTGATTTTTCATTACATGTGTGATGTTACAAGTTCAGTCACAATTAGAAAGGAAAAACAGAACAGATTTTATTTTTTCTTATCAGTCCTATAACTCCAATTTAAAGAATCTAACGAACATCTCCTCCAAAACAAACACGTTTATTATACAATGGTCTGCTTTCAGGCTGGCAGTGTTTACAGTTTACAGTTTTAAAACACTCCAGACAAACAGAAAATGTCTGGAAAGGTCTTTTTCTAAGTAGCAAATATTAATACTTTTTACTATATTGTTTCATCATCTACCCTATAAAGTAGGGAAAGTTTATTGTAGTCAATCTATCTTGGTTACTGAGTTCAATTCGTCTATGGCTGTACCATGTATGATCTCCTATCTTTATTATTTTCAGAGAGTTCTAAACATGTTATAAAAAGAGGCCTCAAGCCGGGCGGTAGTGGCACACGCCTTTAATCTCAGCACTTGGGAGGCAGAAGCAGGCAGATTTCTGAGTTCGAGAGTCCAGGGCTACACAGAGAAACCCTGTCATGAAAAACCAAAAAACAAAAAAAACAAAAAAACAAAAACACTTTCCTTAAAAAGACTCAGATATTAATTTCTTGGGAAAAGACACTGAATGACTGTGACTGCAGCACTGGGCTCAGTTTTGCTGGAACTGTTTCAAACTGCTATGCTGGCTTCACGACTGTCACCATGTCCAATGGAAATGGCTGTGCCACATTTCCAGCAGAATTGAAGCCAAAAGAGCGCCTTAAAAAGAGAAAGAGAGAGTGGAAAGCTGGGTTCAGTTACGCTTGTATTTAATCCCAGCACTTGGGAGGCAGAGGCAAGCAGATCTGTGAGTGCAAGGCCAGGCAGGCTGTTCTACAGAGAGAGTTTCAGAACAGTCAGGCCTACACAGAGAAACCCATCCCACAAAACAAAACAAGGATGGACCAGGCACAGGAATGCACACCTTTAGTCCCAGCACTGAGGAGGCAGAGGCAGGCTACCCTAGTCTACATAGAAACCTCCAGGACAGCCAAAATATACCGTGAAATCTCATCTCTAAAATAAAATAAAAAATAGGGTGAAAGATGACTAAATAAATATATAGAAAAAGAAAAAACAACCTTTGATTTAATCCTCATGATGGATTAATTAATTAATACCCTGCAGGTACTAATTTATCTCCCTCATGTTTTACAAAAGGAAATTGCAGCTTGAGGTAGTGGTGGGGAGCGGAAGATGCCCGAAGGTAGTAGAGTCTAGGCCTTAAGAGATGCCAGAGGACATCTGTGGCAGGAGAGAGAACAGCATGTGTTGAGGCTCTGGCGTGTACAGAGTTAGGCTATTTTAATTAATGTATAGTATGTATGTGTGGGTGTGTCTCACTGGGAAAGCACTCCTGCCCTGGAGGATATCTCTTCAAAGTCCTGTCTTAATGTCATGTCCAAGTGCCTTCCCCTCTAAGCCATGTGCCAACTTCTCCTCTTCCCGAGACAGAAGCAGATGGCGGCAGAGAAAGAGAAAGTAGGGGCAGAGTTCCAAGCACTGCGGGCCTTCCTGGTGGAGCAAGAGGGTCGGCTTCTAAGCCGACTGGAGGTGCTGTCCCGGGAAGTGACACAGAAGCAGAATGAGAACCTGGCCCAGCTGGAGGGTGAGATCACTCAGCTGTCCAAACTCAGCAGCCAGATCCAGGAGACAGCTCAGAAGCCGGACTTAGACTTCCTCCAGGTGACGCTGGCTCAGTCAGAGCCTTGAGGCATTTGCCCTAGGCATTAGGAAAGGCTGCTGGAGAGCAACCAGACCCTGGGAGAAAGGGGAGTGGAGGAAGGGGTGCTCTGAATCTCCTGGGATTGGAAGGCTAGACAGGATATGATACATTTTCATGATTATAAACCATTATAGCTTATTTTATGTTATTCTAGTATACAAACACTTGAGACCAAAGTCTCTGAAAGCATTTCTTACAAAGCTACCTGAAGTTCACTTTAACTTGCTTTATGATATTCTATTTTATTAAAAAAAAATAGTTGGGGCTGGAGAGAGGTCACAGCAGTTAAGAGCACTGTGATCCCCAATACTGACATGGGGCTCAGCACCTGGAAAGGATCGCTGTCTGCACAGGACACACCAAGACCAAGTTCTCAGCACAAAGGAGAAGTATTTGTCCCAGAGGGTCAAAGGGCAGGGAATGAGAGACAAAGACAGGAGACAGAGGATGAGGGAGAAGGGGACAGGAACAAGGAAGAAGGGGACTGAATATTTGCCCCAGGGACAAACAACTGCCTCTGGATAGAGAGGAGACAGGGCCTTAGGCAAATGGCAGTTTATAAAGGGGAAGGGGGAACCCCTCGTTAGGATGAGTTGGTTTGTTTTGATTGGATATGTTAATTAGGGCAGCCAAAAGGGAACTTTTGATTGTTGGGTTCCAAAACTTTGATAGTTGAACCTTGGTGGCTGGCTTTAGGAGAGGGAGTGGCCAATAAGGAACTAGACCTTAGTGGCTAGCTTTAGGGCTGCAGTCTATGGTTTACAAGGGAGAGGGAATGGAGGAAGGGCAAGACCTCCTAGGGCCATGTTTGTCATGCTCTGGCTGATAGAGCCTTTCATCTTGTAACTCCAGCTTCTGGGGACCTGACACCCTCTCCTGGTCTCCATGGGCACACATGGTGTACAGACATACACACGCAGGCAAAACACCCATACACATGAACACTTTTATAAATAATTAATTAAAAAAAAATAGTCACCAGACCAAGTATAGTAGCACATGCCTTTAATCCCAGCACTCAGGAAGTGGGGGCAGGCAGAGCTCTGTGAGTTTGAGACGAGCCTGGTGTAAATAGTGAGTTCCAGAAACAGCCAGAGCTATGTAGTGAGACCTGTCTCAAAAAACAAACAAAAAACAGAACAAACAACAACAACAACAGGCCACCAGCATATTTAGAGAAATTTCACAAACAACAAAAATGTCAAGCATAGAAGGCGCTGCTCAGTGTGGTGGTGTGCACTTTCGGATCCCAGTCCCTGGGAAGTGTGAGTAGGAGTATCAGAAGTTCAAGACCACCCTCTGTTTGATATGAAATTTGAGACCAGCCTGAGACCTAAGAGTCTGTTTCAAACAAAACCAACAAACCAAACAAAATCCAACAAGACACTGTAACTTGTCTGGACTGGTAACCATGCTAGCTGTAAACACTGGGTCTTGTTAGATGGCCCCAGAGAGGATTTTACAATAAAGGCTTTGCATATCTGAGAGGGAGGGGGCGTTGAAGGGTACTATAACTGTGGTAACATCCAGTAGTCAGCCATAGCTGGAAACCACTGGGGCACCCATGGCTTTTCTGTTGGGTAAGAGGCACTCATGTTTTCTCCAAGGTGAATAGAAGTTATATGATGCTGACTTGATTTTCTTCCATGTTTTCTTCCAGGAGTTCAAAAGCACACTAAGCAAGTGAGTGACGTCACAGTTCCTAGGCCTTTCCACGTTGCTTTGCTCTCCCCTCAAGCTTTCTCTTGTTATCCTGACATCATCTCTCTCCTCCTGACCCCCAACTGCTACTTCCTTACCTGGGTACCTTTTGAGGCAATGGTCCACCTACCTAGCTGTGGGGATCCCTGTGTAAAGTTGGATTTTCTGTTTTCTCTTCCTGGAAGCAACTGGGAAGACGGGTGGAGGAGAGTGAATAAGATTGTCTGCTTGGTGATATTCTCTTCAAAGGCAATTCTCCAATCATGTTAACTCCCTACCACAAGCCCCACCTCCTAAAGATTGTAACATCTTCTAATAGGGACACGAGTTGGTAATCAAGCCTTTAGGATTGACATAGGTCTTTAGGATTACATATATGTAAACTATAGCCCCACCCTAATTATCATAGGCCAGTAGGAGTGGGATGGTGTCCTTGGGACTTCCTCCGGGGTCTTGTCCTGCAGGTGCAGCAGCACGCCCGCCTCCAAGCCAACCACAGTCTCATCTGAGATGAAGAATAAAGTGTGGAATGTTTCCCTCAAGAGTTTCGTCTTAAAAGGATTGCTGAAGAAGTTCAAAGGTAGGCCCTGGGTGTGAGCTGGGCCGTGTAGTGTTGGGTGCTCCTGGTAGTTCATGGGACCCAAAGCTATGCCTTTCTTGAAATGATAAAAGGAAACAAGAGTTTTATCAAAGCCAGATTGGGCATCCTGCTTCCTATAGGGTAGCATAGGAATACTATAGACGAACACTGGGGGCAGGAAGAAGGCTAAACAGGGTGGGGTCAGGTCAGACCAGTTCTAGGCAAGAGAGGGAGAGAAGGGGAGCTAGGACACTTGGGGGTCCCTCTTCCCTTTGTTTCCATCTTGGCTTTATGCCTGTAACTCAGCCTCTGTTGTGTCTGGGGTCAGACAAGTTCTAAGTGTGGGAGAAGCGGAGGTTTCCTGGTCAGGCAGTCTCCCATGCTGTACACATTTGCTCTGCTTTGTCTCTCTGTAGAGGATCTCCAGGGAGAGCTGGAGAAAGAAGAGAAAGGTATGAACCGTGACCACTGCTGTGAGTACAAGGCTGACCACGTAGGGAGGCGTTTTCTGAGGTTAAGCCTGTGCCTGTCCGCCTCAATGACTGTTAATCTGCCATCCTAATCCATGTCTGACATCTTTGAACCCTCAGGTCGCAGTAGGACCCTTTGGCTCATAAGCAGAGGGTGGTCTGCAGCAGGAATGAGTTGGCCTTAGGTTGCTTGGGGCAGAAAAATTGCAATCTCCCGGATGAACCTACTCTTACCTCCACATCTAAGCAGATGGAGACCTCTTCTGGGCTTGGGGGTTGTGTGTGGGGTTGGGGGGTGTCATGGACAAGAAGATAGATACACTACATGTAGTTAGTATAACAACAGCTATATTTTATTATGCTGAGAGTCGTCACATACTGTTCACACTCTAAAGTCCTAACTACTGTCTTAAGCCTATCTCCACGAGGCAGCTCACCTGTAGGACGTATCTTAGCTGAAAGTCAGGTCCAGCTTCTAACAGAAGTCTCCATTTGAGGGTCAGGTCCTGGAGGAGACTCGAGAGTAGATCAGGGTGGGTCTCTCCAGATGTGCAGAGCAGAGCATTGCTCGTAGTCTCCGCTTATATACTGTCCAGTGGGCGTCATGGGATTCTAGGACTGTGTCTGGTTATCTTGGGTGAGTGATGTCACTGAGTTCTGATTATCAGGTGCAGCCTGGGGTGTAGTGGGGATCCCGACTAAGCTATTTGTATATGCCTAACAGGCATTTTTTACTTTGGTCGTTACAGGGGGACAGTGGAAACAAAGGGAGACTGCAGAGATCTGGGGTGTATGATCCAACACTGAAGGGAAGGAAGCAAGGGCCCAGAGTTTACCTTTGTAGGACCCAGTAAAGGCCCCTTTCACTCAGTACGCCCTCAGCTCTTAGTGGCCTTCAAGGCCCCAGTGGATCTAACCTCATTGCATATGAGGTCCTGACTTATGTAACCACACACCCTCCTTGCTGCTTCTTGGATGCTCCAACCACCATGAACTTCAGGGCCTTTGCACTGCACTGGCCATCTTTCAGCCAGGGTCAGATTTTCCTGCCATAAAGCTGGCTTCCTCACCTCCTTTAGATCTTTGCTCTAACATACCCTTCCAGTAAGGGTTCTCTGTCTCCTGTAGTTGAGATTACATGTAGCTCTCCAGATCTCTCTTATCTTCTGCCGATCATTCACTGCCTGTCTCACAGAGCTGGGGAGAAAGTAACAAAGGGGCAAGGGTTATTCACCTGCCTTGATCTGTGTGGTATTCCAGGGTGATGTAGTCACTTTCCTATTGCTGTCGTCTCTTGTGGAGAGACAACATGGCCAAGGAAACTCTTATAAAAGCAAACATTGAACTGGGGGCTGGCTTACTGATCAGAAGGTTAGTTCATAACCATCATGGTTGAAAACGGACAGACATGGTGCTTTAGCAGTGGCGCAGTGGCGCAGTGGCTGAGAGTTTTGTACTATGATCTTCAGGCAGCAGGCTGCAGACACACACACACACACACACACACACACACACACACACACACATGATTGATTGATTCTGGGCCTGGGCCTGATTTGGACTTTTGAAACTTCAAAGCTCAATCCCAGTGACACACCTCCACCAAGGCTCACCTCCCTACTCCTTCCCAAACAATTCTATTCTCTGATGTCTAAGCATTCAAATATCTGAGCTAGCGGGAGCCATTCTCATCCAAATCACTACAGGGGGCCTGGAGGAAGTCCTACAACAGTTTTTACAGCTCAGCGTACTTTGTAGCTTTTTGTTTTGACAGTTCACACATAGTCGAAAGGAGAAAGAAAAGCCTACTGCGTGCTCCACAAGTTCATGTAATAGGTCTTCAACTGTCAACTGGTGAATATTTTCCACAGGCCCTGTGTCCGTTTTTATAACAACAACAAAAAAAAAACCAAGATGCTGTATTTCTTCAAATAGAATATGTTATCTCTAAGGAGACTGCTCTTTATTTTTTATTTTCTTAAGGCAGTTGTCACTATATAGTCCTGGCTGGCTTGGAACTGACTGTGCATACCAAACTTGTTCCCAGTTCACAGGCATCTCCCTGCCTCTCTCTCCCAGGATCTGAGAATACAGGGTAGACTCCCACAGCAGACAAAGGACAGACTTTTTAAAACCAGAACCATCACACGTGGAGAAAGTAATGATGCCTTCTTGTATCTAATTTTCAAATTCCCCCAATTGTCTTTGTTTTGAAAAAGGGATTCTTGTAACCCTACCTGCTGGTTATATAACTGAGGTTGGTCTTGAACTCCTGATTCTTCTGTTCTCAGACCTAAGCTCAGGCTTTCTTTACGTTCAGGCTCCACAATTATCCTTGAAATCAGATTTGCTGACCTGCTCAAACTGAGATCCAAATCAGGCCCATTGTGTTTCTTAAATTTAAATAAGTGTCTGTTAAAGATTTTAATACCCGCTTGTTAAATGAAAAAAGAGAAAAAGAAGAAAGAAAGAAAAGAGGAAAGTTAAGTAGCTGACGTGGAGGGAGGAGGGTTGACGGGAAGGAAATGTACTCCAGCAATGCGTGTGGAGACATCCTTCCTTTTTCTCTCTCCTCAGTGGAACTCACTTTGGACCCGGACACGGCCAACCCCCGCCTCATCTTGTCCCTGGATCTAAAGAGCGTACGTCTAGGACAGCGCGCCCAGGACTTGCCTAACCATCCTCGCCGCTTCGATACCAACACCCGCGTTCTGGCGTCCTGTGGTTTCTCCTCTGGGCGACATCACTGGGAGGTGGAAGTGGGCTCCAAGGACGGCTGGGCTTTCGGTGTGGCCCGCGAGAGCGTGCGTCGCAAGGGTCTCACGCCCTTCACCCCCGAGGAGGGCGTCTGGGCAATGCAACTCAACAATGGGCAATACTGGGCGGTGACCAGCCCTGAGAGGACGCAGCTCAACTGTGGGCAACTGTCGCGGGTGAGGGTGGCGCTGGACCTTGAGGTGGGAGCAGTGTCCTTCTATGCAGTGGAAGACATGCGCCACCTCTACACCTTCCGCGTCAACTTCCAGGAGCGAGTGTTCCCCCTTTTCTCTGTTTGCTCTACTGGCACCTACTTGAGAATCTGGCCTTAAAGAGCTCTGTCCTAGAAGGGGACAGGGGACAGGTGAACTCTCCTCCGTGATACTGAGATACTTTATCTTGGACCTTCCTTCCCACTCCTACTTCAGCTGCCCAAGAAGGCTATCACGGAGCACAACATAGGCGCTGAAAACTGACTGAGCAAAGAGGCGCAATTGGTAACTAATGGCACAGCGAAGAGATGCTGTGGACCCTTGGCGCCTGCTGGCTACTGTAATGTTCCTGCAAGTGGTGTCTGAACTATGGAGAGGGGTCGCTCACTGGCATAAAAGCCCAGCTTTAAGCAAGGGTGCTTCCTATCACAAGGGTGCTTCCTATTCAGAAGGGTCCCTGTTTACACAGAAAAATGTCAAAGACTGGTACCCTTGCGAAGGGTGTGGTTTGGCCTTGGGCCCATCATGTGTTATTTTACATTTGTGACAGCTGCAGGCTCTGCTCTGCCTGGAGAGGTCATTGAGTCCTCCGGACCCAGCTGGCCTGGCTGGGTTGTTTATTCAGAGAGGAGTGTTGTGGCTCCCCAGTTAGAGGCCAGTCTGGCTGGATCTGAACGGAAACTCATGACCTATACAAGAGGCCAGACCTACAGTATACACATATGAGCACAGTGCTGTTCTCCAGCACTCTTTGTGTGCATCTTTTAACGAATTGACTGCCAATGTGTGGTCACAAATGCCTCAAGCCTCACATTTCCCTTTGAGTAAGGGAGTCAGAGGTTTTGGAACAGTGAAACACAAGTTGATACTTACGAGTTTGCAGATGCAGCTATCACCAGTGTAGGGATGCACACACCACAAGCACAGTCTTGACAAACCCTTTCTGGAACTTTCTATATCTATGCAAACACCAGGACATTCTGGTGGCAAGGATTGCTGGACATCTGCCCTGGAGGGAGTTGGGCAGGCCAGCCTCCTTAGCCTCTTGAATGGCTATTGTTCCATAGCATTCACAAAGCTGGGCCAAGAAGTGGGCTGTTCCCTGCTTAGTTCTCTGCTTGGAAGTGGGAGAAGAGATGGAAATATAGATTATAAGCACATTTCTAGGGGTGTCTGGACTCATTCTTGCCTCTGTGGATTGACTGCAGGAGGATATGTTGAGTATTGGTTTCTGCTAGAATAATCCCAAATGTTGTATATTTAAGGTGTGTAAGCTTGTGTGCTTGTATCTCAGATTTGGGATGACAGTTACAGAGAGGGCGTTTATGAAAAGCTGTAAGGGGTTAGCTGTTGGAAACAGATATCCACATAAAACATGGTTTCCTACTTACTGTGATATCATGGGGACCAGAGTTCAGATCCTAGCACCCATGTAACAGGCAGTGTGCCTTGTAAATACTCAGGTCTCCAGCTTCAAGGGATATGATGCCCTCTTTTAGTCGCTGTATGCAAACTTCAGAGTCTGTGCATGTACATATGTATAATACATTCATAGAGACCAATATACTGAAAAAATGCCCCCACAGCTTTCACTTCAAAGGGAATAAGAGATAGTTTATTCTGGTGTGGGGACATGACGGCCAGCCTTAACCTGAGGGCACTGTTATTGCCTGCTCTGACCCAGTCAATTAGTGACACTTCCCCTAGAGTGCTCAGATCTGTATAATTTACATACAGCTCCCCTGAGTATAATTTACATACAGCTCCCCTGGCTAAAGAAACTTAATATGGTATCAGGTATCTCTGAGGCACTGACCTTTGCCCTGGAGTGCCCTGAGATCCCAGTGGTCTTCAGGTGAGGTAAGAACAAGATAACGGTGTTCCTGCTTTCCGATTTTATAAACTTGATCCTCGCCGTGGGACTCGGGTAAGCGGTATTTTCATTACTATACAACAGGAAAGAGAAACAACTGAGGGGAGAAAAACAATTTTCTTGCCCAGCTATGAATTCCATAGATAACACCTTTGGCATCTACCTTTATAATCACTTCCTTTAGCTCCCTCTGGCACAGCATGGTGTTTGACTCTAAAGCTGCCTTCTGCTAGCAGTGAGAATAAACAAATTTAATCTAAATTTGAATTGAGTCTAAGTCTTTGCATTCAAATGCCACAACACTGGAGACGAGTTTAAGTGATTAGGTTCTGGGAACAGATTTTGGTAATTCCATATACCTTGTTTTTAAAAGATAAAGTCTCACTCTGTATCTTTGGCTGGCCTGGAACTGTCTATGTAGGCCAGACTAGCCTCGGACTCAGAGATCCTCCTGCCTCTGCCCCTGGGATTAAAGGTGTGTGCCAACCACACTCAGCTTGCATGGCTTTTTGATGATCATTAATTCCCTTTGCATCACTTAATAACTATGCTTGGAGTGACACAATATTACATGTCAAAAAAAAGTGGGTTGTTGGGTCTAGGCGTCCTGTGTACGTGAGGCCAGGACTGAGAAGGATGGGCAGCTGTCTGTATGCGTGATTGTGTCTGTCAGAGGGTGGTATTTGTAGAGTAATATTATACACCTCTGTATAATAGCTATAATTCCACAACAGTTACTGTGACAATTACTTGGCTACAGGACAACTTAGTGACTTGGCTTCCCATGCTCACCTGAGACTGTGTGCACCCATCTCTCATCTTTTGGGCATCGTGACATCTCTAGCATTATTGGATCTCTGAGACTAACTGGCCTATACCCTAGAAATCCAGGACTCTGCCCCTTATCGTCACAGAATTCCAGCACTCAAATGACGGGCACCCAGGGGCCTGCCTCTGGGTTGTACAACTAGTGACCCAAGTCATCCAGCCTTACCTTAGGGCAGGCTAGCCACCAGGCTGAGTGCTATGAGCTGCTGCCACTGCTTTTCATTCTTTTCCAGATTAGGACTCCTGTCTTCCTCTAGGACATCATCTCCTCTGTCCTCCCCTCAGGGGCCTCTTAGGGGCCCTGACAAACTAGCCCACTGCTGGCATTAACATGTACCATAAGAGCTGGTTGTCTTTTTCAAATTCGCCTGTGAGTATGGTGGGACCAGGGGACTCTAGGTCTCTGACCTGCTCTCTACTGAGCACCTCTGAAGAACCTAACCGCTCACCACCAGCCCATCTCAGGTACCACCTCAAAACCTCTGACTTGACAGCCCACAGGACAGGATCATCGACCCCCCTCCCGTGTGCATTACCTGCACTTTGACCTTGATTGCAAACCTTGGTTGTAATCTTTGATTACAAGATTGACTCTCGCACCTCCGACAGACCAGAACACTCCTCATAGCTACTGCCCCGTGAGGGACAGTCCCCTCGCACCCACAGCAGGTACAACACCGGTCTGTTTCTCAAAAGACTTTTTCCGAATATTCACGTTCCTTCTGTTTTATCTGTCCCCATGTATAGTGTAATTCTGTCGGATGCTGCCGCTACTTGGTTGAAAGACTAAGAATAGATTTTATCATTTTTTTCAGCTTGGTGTTAGATTCCGCGGCTGCGCAATAGTGGTGATTCTGTTAACTACCCATGCAGAGAAGACCTTCTCGCGACTGGCTCCATAGCTCAGGGGTTAGAGCACTGGTCTTGTAAACCAGGGGTCGCGAGTTCAAATCTCGCTGGGGCCTAGAAGGTTACTTTTTCACCATTACAGTCCAGAGCAGAACGTGAAAAGGAAAATACTGTAATCGTGTTTCTGTGTCCTTTTGCTTATGAAGCCTCAACCCAGAGCTGAATTCCTGCGCCCGTGAAGCCATATTCACTGCAAACTTCCCCATCATGTTCTTGCGCCCAGTGCTATTTCCCCGCTGTTGCACTTCTGTACGCTCTTTATTGAAGTCACTCCACCTTCCCCCAACCCCCTGTCGCCCCACTCGGCTAGGCTGTCACGCACTTTTATAGTTCGAACACACTTCTCCTTTCCGGCCGGAGAGCTTTGCACCAACGAGCACCTTTGCCACTAGGCCAGCATCCGCGTCTGCGGCACCGCTGGGCACTGCGTCTGCGGCTCTCGTTGCCCTCTAGGACGGTGTGTCGCGGGACTGCAGGTCTCTGTCACCTCCGTGTGGAATTAAAGAAAGGAAAATGCAAGTAGGCGCTCAATTTCCTAACATCTTGGCCCAACGACTGACTTTGTCATTTTCACTTAATCTTTTAAGACAAAACAAACAAACAAACAACCCATGAGTAATTAAGTTCGTTGGCAAAAGTAAAGTGTACAGAATGAGGGTAAACTGTTGAATTCAGTGTGGCTGTCGTGCAAGGGCTAGGGGCTAAGCGTCGGAAGAAATTTCCCTGGGGAGACATGAACAAATATACATATATGACAGATCAAATAAACAAAAGATTCTATTTATGTCTAGCTTGGCAAATGTGCTGCGTAGTCTTGTGCCAGTTTGACACAAACTAGAGTGATCTGAACCTTAGCTGAGAAAATGCCTTCATAAGATACGGCTGTAAGACCTTTTCCTAATTAGTTACTGGTTGGGAAGGGTCTAGCCCATTGTGGGTGGTGCCATCCCTGGGCTGGTGGTCCTTGGTTCTATAAGAAAGCAGGCTGAGCAAACTATGGAAGCAAGACGGTAAGCAACTCTAC